GCACATACTACTGGGAACAGGCTCCAGTTGTTCCTCTGCCTCACTGCTGTCTAGCTCCAAAGGCAGCTGAGAACTGCCAGACAGCCTTTGTCCCCTCTCTGCCTCTGACACAGAGTCCTCGCCCGAGCCTTCCCCAGCCTCCAGGACTGGCCCATGGTCCTCCCCAAGCTCCTCACTGTCTGACTCTGCTGCCAGCTCTGCTGGTTGCTGGCGGGCCACAACAGGTATATAAGAGAAATAAGGGAGAAACTATCAGGTTTTCAAGATCCAGTTGAATAATATCAAGACCCTCGAAAAATGAAGCAGAATTCCATTGGTTCTTGTCTCCAAAGGGATTTGGAACCTCTTGAGGAAAACAACCAAGAACTGGAAAATCAGCAGGGCCCGGAGGTTAAGTAGCAAGACGCTTGATTCCCTATTTCCATCCTTGATACTTGCTCTTAAATATAAACCATACTAAACCACATTCCATGTGCAGATATCACAGCGAAGTTGGGATTTGAGCTGTCACTTAAATCCCCCAAACATTAGATCCCATTGCAATAGGTTGCAAATACATCGTATGAGTTTCACTTTCCGGTAGGCATTTTGGACAGCTGGTCAAAGAGTCACCCACCTGGGTTCATTCATGTTTTGATTCATGAAACTGGTTTGGGAGGTTGAGTGGGAAGGAAGGTGAGCTAAGCAAGAACCCGTTTTCCCAGCAACTGAGAGTGAGCTTCTGGGCAAAGATCAATAAGCTAAAAGGAAAACAAAATAAAAATGAACAAAAACAAAGCAAAATAAATAGGAAAATGTACATTGTGATAAACCAAATTGAATTTAAGCTAAATTAAAAAGTCATAAGCAGTCCACAGTTATATTTAAAGCATGGAAACACATTTCAAGACACAGCAAGAAAAAACAAAAAACACCTTGGTGTTCAGAATGCATTTGGAGAAAAAGGGAAAAATCATTACAAATATGAGAAAGATGGACAAAATTAAATAGGAAGGGAAAGTGGGCAGAAAAAGCAGGCAATGTACAAATGCAATAAATTTGAATACTCGGGGGGGGATCTTTCTTATATGGCATCTATTTTGGTAAGGGAAAGGTTCCCCTCGCACATATCTGCTAGTCATTCCCGACTTTAGGGGGCAGTGCTCATCTCTGTTACAAAGCCAAAGAGCCAGCGCTGTCCGAAGACGTCTCCGTGGTCATGTGGCCAGCATGACTAAACGCCAAAGGCGCACGGGAACGCTGTTTCCTTCCCACCAAAGTGGTCTCTATTTTTCTACTTGCATTTTTACATGCTTTCAAACTTGGCAGAAGCTGGGGACAAGTAACGGGAGCTCACTCCGTTACATGGCGCTAGGGATTCGAACTGCCAAACTGCCGACCTTTCTGATCGACAAGCTCAGTTTCTTAGACACTCATTCATTAGTATAAATGTGCTCAGGACCAAATGAAGGAGAACTAAAACGATTCTGTATTTTGGTTAACTTTGATTTTGCAAGAAAGAAGCAGAGCTATGGCAGGGGAAGCATTCAAAAAAGTCAAAGAGAAAGATCATGCATGTTGGATCGAAGCTCTGCCTCCTTTTATATGTCCATCGCTCCCGGGCAGACACTCCGGGAAACACGATTACTCCTGCTGCACACTATCCTAGGGATTATTTCTGGTTACCTGGTGTTACAGACGTTAGTGGGGAAAACATAACAACAGTATTATGGATGCACAAACTTCATTTCCTTTGAAAGCAGCTGCTGTTTCACATTTCACGTCTTTTATGAAAGAGTTCTCACATTCTGGGAAAACAGCTCATTGCAACTTTGAACAATTCAAGGCTGAAGCACTGCAAATCTGCAACCTTTCATGGAGCACCAATAAATTCAGGGGTGAAATCCTCCCGGTTTGGCCCAGTTCGGCCCGAACTGGTAGGGATGATTGTCCTTGGTTCTGGTAGTAAAAAAAAAAAGGCTTCCAAGGATCACGTGGGCCAGCTGTGAGCTGCGTGATTCTCGGAAGCTTTTCCTCCACTTTTCAAAGCATTTTTTCCCTGCCGGTTCAGACGAATATGCAGGGAA